TTTTGTGTTAAGGGTACCCTTTTTTGTGTTGTTAAGGGTACCCTTTTTTGTGTTGTTAAGGGTACCCTTTTTTGTGTTGTTAAGGGTACCCTTTTTTGTGTTAAGGGTACCCTTTTTTGTGTTGTTAAGGGTACCCTTTTTTGTGTTGTTAAGGGTACCCTTTTTTGTGTTGTTAAGGGTACCCTTTTTTGTGTTGTTAAGGGTACCCTTTTTTATATATAATTTCCAAGGAGGCGGCGAGATTGGTGGTGTGTCAACCAGACTGTTAGAGGCAGCTGCTCGCAGCCTGACGTATGAATCACAGTCAACAATTACAAGTCCAGTACTAGTTGAACTTATTGATTTGGATTTTTTCTCACAAAAATATTTTGTAATTTCCCCTAGTATTGATTCTACTTCTTAATGTCCGTGTTAAGATTACTTTTTCTTTGAGAGAATCATAGAGAGTGGGACATTATAGTTAGTGTGTTCCTTTGCCTGCAGGACGGGCTAAGGTAACCCTACAGGTTCCTTTGCCTGCAGGACGGGCTAAGGTAACTCTACAGGTTCCTGTGCCTGCAGGACGGGCTAAGGTAACTCTACAGGTTCCTGTGCCTGCAGGACGGGCTAAGGTAACTCTACAGGTTCCTGTGCCTGCAGGACGGGCTAAGGTAACTCTACAGGTTCCTGTGCCTGCAGGACGGGCTAAGGTAACTCTACAGGTTCCTGTGCCTGCAGGACGGGCTAAGGTAACTCTACAGGTTCCTTTGCCTGCAGGACGGGCTAAGGTAACTCTACAGGTTCCTGTGCCTGCAGGACGGGCTAAGGTAACTCTACAGGTTCCTGTGCCTGCAGGACGGGCTAAGGTAACTCTACAGGTTCCTTTGCCTGCAGGACGGGCTAAGGTAACTCTACAGGTTCCTGTGCCTGCAGGACGGGCTAAGGTAACTCTACAGGTTCCTGTGCCTGCAGGACGGGCTAAGGTAACTCTACAGGTTCCTGTGCCTGCAGGACGGGCTAAGGTAACTCTACAGGTTCCTGTGCCTGCAGGACGGGCTAAGGTAACTCTACAGGTTCCTGTGCCTGCAGGACGGGCTAAGGTAACTCTACAGGTGTGTTAAGACGCGTCACATTGAGGAGAAGATCGTGGCCATTGAGACATAAGAGAGGTGAGGTAACAAAGAACTCCTGGATAATAAATAAATAGGTGAGTGAACATACTGGTGAAGACCTTCATGTTACACATGCACCTGCACAAAGGTGCACGTGCTGACCAACACCCGGTGACTAAAATAATAATCCTAGAGAGGAAGATATTAAACAAACAATAAAAGACAAACTAGTGTCCAGGGCCGTGGGGGGGGGGGGGGGCGGAGGGCGAAGTATTTGCTAGACTTCTTCAAGACTTTAGAAAAGGTTTGTGGGCCTTTGTCTTGAGTATTGAAATTATCAAGAGTGGAGCAGAGTGCAGGAATTGTCTAGGGCAGGACATCTATGGTCATTAAGGAGACGGGTGACTTGGGGTTAAACTATCGCCCTATTGGAAATAGTTTGGGAGGATATAGACGCCGCCTCGTATGGGTCAATACCCCTTTTTTATAGTAAAGAGGAAGGAGAGGCATAGGTGAAGGGAAGTATAGAAGTGGGAAATACAGTGAGAGGTATGACAGCAGGCGGCGGGCTGTCCGCCTTGCTGACTCGCCTCCTGCATGTTCAGCACACCATCATCCTTGAAGTAAAACTCTTACCTATTGAATGGTTTTCTTTATTTTTATCCAGTCAATATATTTATTGAAATTGCAGCTATTATTGACTTAGGAGGTTAGTGAGGTGTGTGGTGGCTCCAGAGATCTTCTGGAGATGATTTGGGGGGCTTAGTGTCTCCGCGGCCCGGTCCTCGACCACACCTTTTTTTTTTACGAGCTATTCATGCCCGTGTCGCCTTTTGGGTGGCTTAATCTTCATCGATCAATCTTGTATACTGGTACTCATATTTCGATGGCGTTGTAATCACTAATGCGAGTTTGTTAACATTGCAAATATTGCACGTCACTATTAGCAGGACATTTATGAATGGAACATAATTACTCGCTTTTTGTGTAAGCCTTTTATGTTAACAAATATAAAGGACTCTTGTGTGTGTCAGTTCTCTGGGGGGTTGACAGGTGTGTTACATCTACACCTTGATCCAGTGTGTTGTTGTGGTTGTACACGTGAGTGCTCCAATACTGGTTTTGGACACACTGGGAATGATCTACACCTTGATCCAGTGTGTTGTTGTGGTTGTACACTTGAGTGCTCCAATACTGGTGTTGGACACACTGGGAATGATCTACACCTTGATCCAGTGTGTTGTTGTAGTTGTACACTTGAGTGCTCCAATACTGGTGTTGACACACTGGGAATGATCTACACCTTGATCCAGTGTGTTGTTGTGGTTGTACACGTGAGTGCTCCAATACTGGTGTTGACACACTGGGAATGATCTACACCTTGATCCAGTGTGTTGTTGTGGTTGTACACGTGAGTGCTCCAATACTGGTGTTGACACACTGGGAATGATCTACACCTTGATCCAGTGTGTTGTTGTGGTTGTACACGTGAGTGCTCCAATACTGGTGTTGACACACTGGGAATGATCTACACCTTGATCCAGTGTGTTGTTGTGGTTGTACACGTGAGTGCTCCAATACTGGTGTTGACACACTGGGAATGATCTACACCTTGATCCAGTGTGTTGTTGTGGTTGTACACGTGAGTGCTCCAATACTGGTGTTGGACACACTGGGAATGATCTACACCTTGATCCAGTGTGTTGTTGTGGTTGTACACTTGAGTGCTCCAATACTGGTGTTGGACACACTGGGAATGATCTACACCTTGATCCAGTGTGTTGTTGTGGTTGTACACTTGAGTGCTCCAATACTGGTGTTGGACACACTGGGAATGATCTACACCTTGATCCAGTGTGTTGTTGTGGTTGTACACTTGAGTGCTCCAATACTGGTGTTGGACACACTGGGAATGATCTACACTTTGATCCAGTGTGTTGTTGTGGTTGTACACTTGAGTGCTCCAATACTGGTGTTGGACACACTGGGAATGCAGTCTTGTGCTGGTGCTGGTGGTTTAGATCTAGCTACTCAGACTGAAATGTCCATGTAGCACAGACTATAGTGAGCCCGTAAAATCTTGTGTGTTCTGTTTAAATCATACTTTTGCAGTGTTTCCATCTTACTTGCTCTACCCCGTTTGTCTGTCTCAACACGCTCTCAAATTTCAGTGGTCGTCATCTCTCGTTGAATGATGTTCTTCTAACAGGAAACTTTGGCTGTTGAAACACCAGAATTCTATACCACCGTTTGAGAAATTAGACAGTTTAATATTTAGAACATATTGAATGTGTTCCAAAGCGGGACGGTCCCTTTCTTGTCATGTTCCTCATTCTCTTACCTGTATTTTGCCCCTTGGATTCCATGTTTGTAAATTTAATAACTTTGTGATGGTATTTAGAACCCGATCTTTGGGTTTCGTGTGTGATGCTACTTGAGTTGCTTGTGCTGTGTGTATGTTTGTCCGGTTGCCATTGTGGCCACCTCCAGACTCTTGTGTCCAGACAGTGATACTTTGTTGTTACCTGCTTGATGGGGGTTCTGGGAGTTCAACTGCCCGGCCCGAGGCCAGGCTTGACTTGTGAGAGTTTGGTCCACCAGGCTGTTGCTTGGAGCGGCTCACATAATCACCACAGCCAGATTGGTCCAGAACGTCTTTTAGAAAACAATCTAGTTTCCTCTTGAACATGTCCACGGTTGTTCCGGCAATATTTCTTATGCTCGTTGGGAGGACGTTGAACAACCGCGGACCTCTGATGTTTATACAGTGTTCTCTGATTGTGCCTATGGCACCTCTGCTCTTCACTGGTTCAATTCTGCATTGTCTTCCATATCGTTCACTCCAGTACGTTGTTATTTTACTGTGTAGATCTGGGACCTGACCTTCCAGTATTTTCCATGTGTATATTATTTGATATCTCTCTCGTCTTCTTTCTAGTGAGTACATTTGGAGAGCTTTGAGACGATCCCAATAATTTAGGTGCTTTATCTCGTCTATGCGTGCCGTATATGTTCTCTGTATTCCCTCTATTTCAGCAATCTCTCCTGCTCTGAAGGAGGAAGTGAGTACTGAGCAGTACTCAAGACGGGACAACACAAGTGACTTGAAGAGTACAACCATTGTGATGGGATCCCTGGATTTGAAAGTTCTCGTAATCCATCCGATCATTTTTTCTGGCTGACGCAATATTTGCTTGGTTATGCTCCCTAAACGTTAGGTCGTCAGACATCATTATTCCCAAATCCTTTACATGCTGTTTTCCTACTATGGGAAGATTCGATTGTGTTTTGTACCTGTATTATGTTTCAGGTCCTCATTTTTGCCGTACCTGGTGGTGTTATCTACTGGTCTCTACATTAATGTTGTCATTGGACGCTGTTTTTCTCCAATAATTGCGTGTCTGAGCTATTGGTCCTTGTAGTTTCCTGCATTGATCCTAATTTGAATAGATGGTAATTGCATGGATGGCAGTTTATGTACACCAGAGAGAGAGTAGTCATTTTGATGTGGTTTATGGAGACTGTCGTTACACATCCAATGACATAATTTTAATTTTAATTTTGCCCCGAGGGGCGAGTTTATTGGGCAGCGCCACTCATCTTGTGAGTGAACATACCGCCATAGCAGAATGTACAACACTCCCCAATAGGAAGAAAACCCGCTGGGTTGTTCATCCAATGACATGTTAACACCTTTAGAGAATTGTGAGAATTGTCTTAAGACGCACTTAATGTAAATCTTCAGTTTCTTTTACATTGTATTCCGAGAGGAAGGTGTGTTTACGTGACCGTGGAGGAGGGGGGGGGGAGTGTGGGAACTTTAGTATGGCAGTTAAGTAATTAAGTGTATTTTAGTTATATTGTTTTGTGTATAATTCTAATGTGTGTGTGTGTGTTTGGTGTGTGCAGGTATGGCCCCGTGCAGAGTGTCAAGATGCTGGGTGGTGGCGGTGGTGGTGGCGGCGGCGGCGGCGAGGAGGGCGGCGGCGGCGGCGGCCCCGGCGGCATGTGCGCCACCGTCGCCTTCGTGGACATCTGTGCGGCCGCCAAGGCCCACAAGGCCGACAACCGCTTGGAGGACCGGTGCCTCAAGACCACTTACCACGAGGCCTCCCTCTCCGCCCTCTCCTCGCCCCAGTACACCCCGCCCATACACATGCACCGCGAGCCGCCCACTCATCCCTACACGCCCACGCCTCCGCCTGCTCCCAACCCTAACAACCCTGCACTAGCCGCCCGCAGCCCCCGTTTCTCTTCTGGGTAAGTACTCCGCTCATCTCTTATTTTGGTTATATTTGCCCAGACCAGTTTAATGGTTGTCCAGTGTTGTTGTGTAGTAGTGATGGAGTACATGTTGTATTGGTGTAGTTCATTGATGATCAGTGGACCCGTGTTTGTGTTGTGGCCGTGTTGACCAGTGCACGCTGGACACCCTCCTTCCCCGGGGTAAGTATTCCCGCCACGCCACACATGGGATATATTACTGCTGCTGCCTCGCCTGCCACGCCGGGGACACCCTGCCCCAGCTGCTGCCTCACCTGCCACGCCGGGGACACTGCCCCAGCTGCTGCCTCACCCCGCTGGATGATGGCACACGCCGCCTCACATGAACCACGCGCCCCTCACCTTGCAGTGTTCTTACCACCTAAAGTGAAGTGTGTGTGAGTGTGTGAAGGTGGGATGGATAAGTGTCTTGCCTCCCACACAGAGTTGGTGTTCAACTCTCATAAAGCCCGGCCTCTGCTCACAGAAAAATCATAGTTAGTGAAAGTGTAGTGTAAAGTAATAAGTGGATCCCTATTGTTTGAAGATGATTGTTATTGTCCATAATTGAGGGCCAGGCGGTGGTGTTGAGGATTACCGTGTACCGTCTACTATGACGCGCCTACCCCCTGGATGTACAGCAAGTAGAGGATTACACTAATGTTCTGCTGCTGCTGCTCCGCTGGAAGCTTACTGCGCCCCCAGCCAGCCCTCGCTGACCGCTACAAGCAGTGGTTTATTGTGGTGTGTTGAGTGCCTCTGGTGGTGATTAGTGTCAGTGATCAACCTCTGCCTTAGTGCCTCGCCCCTCACTCACTCCACTCTTCATAATGTGCTTCTAGTTAAAGAATAGTGGCCATATATCATATATATAATACAAAGTGTGTGTGTAAAGTTGTGAATAATGAGGTAGTGGAGGTGATAAGAGACGTGAGGAGGAGGAGTGAGAGGCGTGGTGGAGGAGAGAGAAGCCGTGGAGGGTGCGGTGAGAACACGTGTGACGGGGGTAGTGTTGGAGCCGCAGCGTGCAGGCAGCGTGCACGAGGAGCCTGCAGGCAGCGTGCACGAGGAGCCTGCAGGCAGCGTGCACGAGGAACGTGCAGGCAGCGTGCACGAGGAACGTGCAGGCAGCGTGCACGAGGAACGTGCAGGCAGCGTGCACGAGGAACGTGCAGGCAGCGTGCACGAGGAGCGTGCAGGCAGCGTGCACGAGGAGCGTGCAGGCAGCGTGCACGAGGAAGGTGGGGCGGTGGAAGTAAGGTAGGTGAGTGGAAGATTGTGTGCACCTCCAGCGTGCACTTGTCAGCGCCTCTACAGCCTGGTAGGTACCTCATTATTCTCTCATTATGTGCTATGTAACCAGACATTTTGGGATGTATAGTTGTGATCGGCCGCTCTCATGGGTTGAGCGGTAGTGATCGGCCGCTCTCATGGGTTGAGCGGTAGTGATCGGCCGCTCTCATGGGTTGAGCGGTAGTGAGCGGCCGCTCTCATGGGTTGAGCGGTAGTGATCGGCCGCTCTCGTGTGGCCACCTTTCTTCTCCAATAAACTACCAGGTCTTGTAGGGACCCAACTTAGCACCTTTTAACACCCCTCCACTCTCTTTCTTGCTCCTACATGTGTAAATCGTCAAATTGTCTCGGTTACGTTCACAACAAAGTACACACACACGTGAGAGAGAACGAGAAGAGAAACAAAGACTATATTGCACTGGGAAGGGGTCAAGATAAGGATTTGGGATGGGAGGGAAGGAATGGTGCCCAACCACTTGGACGGTCGGGGAGTGATCGGCGACCTGCATGAAGCGAGACCGTCGCTCTACCGTTCAGCCCAAGTGCTGCTGGTATTGAGAAAAAGAGAGAGAGGAAATGAAAGTGAAGGAGCAGGCGGGGGGGGGCAAGTTGGCACGTATCTTGTGGGCCCCAGTAATTACGTATCAGCTAGGCCTGAGATGAATCATTAGGCCCGAGCTTTTCCTGCGTTCATCATATATCATGCTACAGCTGTGTGTACATGTGGCAAACTTCCTCATGCCACTTGTTTACAATATTAACAATGTTCGGTCTTCAAATACGGTATAAACAGTAACAGTGTAGTTGGGTAATTCTAACCCCTAGGAAAAGCATTATCTGGCACCAAAATAAGAGGTGTCATCCTCAATCTGATATGAATGCTTCAGTCTCTGTTCCATTTCTTCAATCTCCCTGTTTAAATTATTCCTTTTTTGTATGGAAAGTTGTGTCTGCTTAAGCATTTCAGTTATTTTTTCTTTTCTTTTTTGTAGTGTCGTCTGCGTTCTCTTTCTTCTTTTGACCTCTTTCTGGCTTTCCTCAAAGGAACATGTTTCAGACAGACTTCATAGGCTTCAGAAGTCAGTTTTTCTGTTCCTTGTGAAGGATTTTTATTATTTAGAACATTTTCCCATTGAATGTTTGTAAGTTCCCTGTTTATTTTCTCCCAGTCTATCCTTTCATTATTGAAATTGAATATACCGAACAACCTTACTCGCTTGTTGTTTCTCTTGGGCCTACTACCGTTATTAATGTTAGTTTGCACTTCAATGGGCTTGTGGTCCGAGTACGTAGTGTCTGACATTGTAATATCTCAGATTAGCCACATCATTGTTCGTGAATATCAGGTCCAGCGTGTTCTCGTTCCTAGTTGGTTCTGTAATCTGCTGACTGAGCGAGAATTTCTCACAGAATCTCAGTAGTTCTCTGACCTGTGGTTGGTTATTTCCAGGTTGACTTCCTGCTATAATGTTATTGTTTACTATTCTCCATTGTAAACTGGGTAGATTGAAGTTTCCAAGGAAGATAATATCTGGTACTGGGTTTGCTAGGTTATCAAGAATAGTCTCTATTTTATGGATCTAAGTGAATTCAGCTGTTGCATCTAATTTATTTATTTATTTATTTTATTTATATACAAGAAGGTACATTGGGTTTGTGAGAATACATAGCATGGTGTTTACAATCTTGTAAAGCCACTAGTACGCGCATCGTTTCGGACAGAAACTAGATTCGGGCATATCTAGCGGTTTGTATATTAGAATAATTATTAGATTTATACTTTCTACCTTAATTCCAAGTACCCTTACCACCTCATTGGTCGAGTTCAGAAGCACTGTGCATGCCAGTTCCTCTTCAATATACAGACCTATTCCTCGACTTGACCTAATTACTGTCACGTCTATATACATTATAATTTGGGATCCAGATTTCACTATCCATGTGGTCTTTCTTGTGGGTTTCTGTAAATGCCCCAAATATTGAGTTCGGTTATATTAGAAGGCCATTTAAGAACTTAACTTTATTTCTTGATTTTGACTTTAGGCCTTGTATGTTTGTAAATATGAATTATTTCCCATATTGTGTGTCACTTCTGGTGGGCTTTGGTAGTTCTTCCCTCACCCCCTCCCCCCACACTCTACCCAGGTCCAGGGTGTGTTGTGTTGGTAGAGGTTCGTCCAGTGTTGGTGGTAGTGTGGGTGTTGTGTGGTGTAGTACCTGTGTGCTTGTTAATGACTTGTATTCCAGTCTTGTGGGTATCTCCCTCCCCCTCTCTGTAATCCTGTAGTGGTTCCATCTGACTGTTCCTCTCTTATATGTTCCACTGTTTCTGCCTTCCTGTTAAAAACTTCCAGTACAATATTGATCTTCCCGTCTATAATGCTGTGTACGTCTCACCTGGAATTCCGGGCACTGAAGACTGTAACATTTTTTTCATTAACTGACAATTTACTTAGTATAGGGGTGTAAATATCTTCACTGTGTCCCTAAACTGCATGTACCCGTCGCCAACATGTTCCTGCATTTTCGAGGATGCTGAAAAGTGCATTTTACGCCATTTTTCCATATTTACAGATGCCTTGTGCATACAGTTGGCAAATATTCTCAGTTGTTATTTTCTCCAGGATATTTCAAATCAAATCAAAAGTTCATTCAGGTAAAAGTACATACATTAGAGGAGTTACAAACATATTGTTGGATTTCTAGGTAGAGGAAGTACATCGGATATCTACAACCACTAATACGCACAGCGTTTCGGGCAAGAAACCTGTGCCTGTCTTGACCGGTTTTGGGGGGCAGGGGGGGGGGTAAAGAGGAAGGAGAGGCATAGGTGAAGGGAAGTATAGAAGTGGGAAATACAGTGAGAGGTATGAAAGCAGGCGGGCTGTCCGCCTTGCTGACACCATGTGTGGGTGTTGGCAGCTAAGCTAAGCTGGCTCCCTCTTGTCAGGGAACTGTGAGTGTGTGAGAGGTTCTTCACATGTGTTTCACCATATATGGATGTCTATAGATGAATACTGTGAAGCATTCATATACACACACTCCGATGCTTCCACTCGTGTTTTTCTGTTTAAGGCTCTTTATTTTATTATTATTTATCGAGTTGTCATACATATTATTTACCGAGTTGTTCATACATACACATATATGAACTGTTCATATATATACATATATAACTCATCTGGGGATTATATACTGTGGGGCGGGGTTTTCGTCCAGAGAATCGAGGCTCTTGGGCCACCAGCTGTGGGAGTGGGGCGTCTCATCATGGGCCACCAGCTGTGGGAGCGGGGCATCTCATCTTGGGCCACCAGCTGTGGGAGTGAGGCGTCTCATCTTGGGCCACCAGCTGTGGGAGCGGGGCGTCTCATCTTGGGCCACCAGCTGTGGGAGTGGGGCGTCTCATCATGGGCCACCAGCTGTGGGAGCGGGGCATCTCATCTTGGGCCACCAGCTGTGGGAGTGAGGCGTCTCATCTTGGGCCACCAGCTGTGGGAGCGGGGCGTCTCATCTTGGGCCACCAGCTGTGGGAGCGGGGCATCTCATCTTGGGCCACCAGCTGTGGGAGTGAGGCGTCTCATCTTGGGCCACCAGCTGTGGGAGCGGGGCGTCTCATCTTGGGCCACCAGCTGTCTTGGGCCACCAGCTGTGGGAGCGGGGCGTCTCATCTTGGGCCACCAGCTGTGGGAGCGGGGCGTCTCATCTTGGAGTAATCTTTCTAACATTGGGTCCTCTTACGGTGTTCCATACCCTGATGGCTTGGTGCTGCAGTCTGATGTTTAGTGGCTGTATGTTCAGGAGTTCATGGAGCTCCTGGATTGTCTGATCATATGGTGGACGGTGTTTTGCTGCTCTCCTTAGCGCCTTTTTTGTACTGCTTGCAGTTTCTGCATGTTAGTTTTCTTTATGGTGTGTAGTGGTACTGGGGGATACTCTAGATGCGGCCGAACTAGAGCCTTATATAGGTGGATCTGAATGTTAGTACTGAGGCTTCGGAATCTCCTCAATTTTCCTAAGGCTGCTTTGGCTTTGTTTAGTCGGTCCCTTACATAAATTTGTATCCCTGTTCTATTTATCATAAGTCCCAGTATTCTGCCTACCTCCGCATATTGGATCGGATGGTTGTCAAGGATGATGGGGTCCGGGTTTCTTTTCGCAATGTGTATTATCTGAAACTTTTGTTTGTTGGTGCTAATTTTCCATTGCTTCTCAAAGTTGTTTATGAGTTCAATTGCTGCCTTGGTCTTGTCGGCTAGTAGCGGCTTTGATGGTCCCGGTTGGCATATTATTTGGGTAACATCATCAGCGTATGTGATGTATTCTCCATGTTGGGGTTGGGGTAGGTCAGCTGTATATATGTTGAATAGAGTGGGGGAGAGGCAGCTTCCTTGTGGTACTCCACTTTTCAGTTCTATTACGTCACCCAAGTAGCTGCCGATATTAAGCCTAGCAATTCTGTTGTCTATAAAGCTGCAGAGAGTAGCAGTAAATCTCTCAGGAAGTCCTAGTTCAGATATCTTATATTTTAGGCCTGTGTACCACACTTTGTCGAAGGCTTTCGAAACGTCTCTAAGCACTATATGACACTGATCTTTTTTCGACACTGCGTTGGCTATATGCTGGTAGATCAGGGCTATAGCTGTATGGGCCCCTCTGCTATATGCTGGTAGATCAGGGCTATAGCTGTATGGGCCCCTCTGCTATATGCTGGTAGATCAGGGCTATAGCTGTATGGGCCCCTCTGCTATATGCTGGTAGATCAGGGCTATAGCTGTATGGGCCCCTCTGCTATATGCTGGTAGATCAGGGCTATAGCTGTATGGGCCCCTCTGCTATATGCTGGTAGATCAGGGCTATAGCTGTATGGGCCCTCTGCTATATGCTGGTAGATCAGGGCTATAGCTGTATGGGCCCCTCTGCTATATGCTGGTAGATCAGGGCTATAGCTGTATGGGCCCCTCTGCTATATGC